TTTTACCTTTTTCTGCCAGTTTGCCAGGCTCTAGTCTCCTCCAGCTGTGACTTCCAGAAGAGCAGAGGGGCCTTGATATCCTGCTCACAGTGCCATAACCTCAGAGGCCAAGGGAAATTTTGCTCTTCACCCCTGAAGTTTTATTAATAAAAATCACTGACAGATGCTGAAGGTCATAAGCAGAAGCTGAGGGTAGCCCTCTCTGCCCAGAAGCAGGCAAGAGAACATGATGAAAACACCACTTCTGTGCAGGTGGCCCACCACAGCCACCACCACAGCCATGGCTGCTGCAAAGGCAACTTGACACCACAGCAGTAGCCACAGCAACTGATAGCTTAAGCAGCATGCTAGAACAAGAAGAAGAAAGAATTTCTAATATTGAAGATAGTCTTTTTGAAATAACTCAGGCAGACAAAAAAAAGGAAAAAATAATTTTTAAAAAATGAAGAAAATCTAAGAGAGCTAGCAGACAACCTTAAGTGCTCAAACATTCAAATCATGGGTGTTCCAGAAGGGGAGGAGAAAGAAAAAGGCATAGAAAACCTATTCAATGAAATAATAAAGGAAAACTTCCCAAATATAGGGAGAGACATGGACCTTCAGATCCAGGAGGCTCAAAGATCCCCGAGCAGATTCAACCCAAAAATATCCTCCCCAAGACACATTATAGTCAAACTGGCAAAGCTCAAAGACAAAGAGAGAATCATAAAAGAAGCAAGAGAAAACTGTCAAGTCACCTATAAGGGAGCCCCTATCAGACTAACAGCAGACTTCTCAACTGAAACTCTATAGGCCAGAAGAAAATGGGATAATATATTCAAAATACTAAAACAAAAAACCTGTCAGCTAAGAATACTATACCCAGCAAGGCTATCCTTCAGAAATGAGGGGAAAATAGTGTATTTTCCAGACAAACAAAAACTGTGGGAGTTCACCACCACACAACCAGTCTTACAAGAAATCCTCAAGGGAGTACTGCATCTGGAATCCAAAAAATGATAATCACTACCACGAATACACAAGAAAGAATAAAACTGGTAGAACAAAAATTCAAATGAGAAAGAGAAAGAAACTAAATCTTACCACCACAAAAAACCATAATGAAAATGTAATAATGTCCCTGCTTTTCTTTTGATTTTAGTAATTTTGGTCTTCTCTCTTTTATCTTGGTCAGTCTAGACAAAGTTTTGCAAATTTGTTGATCTTTTTAAAGAATCAGCTCTTGGTTTTGTTGATTTTCTCTCTATTGTTTAATTCCCTATTTCATATTTTCATGTTGTAATCTTTGTTATTTGCTACTTATATTTGCTTTTGGTTTAGTTTGCTCTTCTTTTTCTATTCTTAGGGTAGAAGTTTACATTACTGATTTGAGATTTTTCTTACTTTTAGTACAGGTGTTTACAAGTATAATGTTTCCTCTAAGCACTGCATAAGCCCTGCACCTTATAAATTGTGATATATTGTGCTTTGATTTTTATCTCAAAGTACTCTCTAATTTCCCTGTGATTTTTCTTCTTACCCATTGTTTCTTTAGGAAAGTGTTGTTTAATTTTCCCACATTTGTGAATTTTCTAAATTTCCTTCAGTTATTGTAGTCAGAAAACATATTTTCTATGATCTTAGTCTTTTTAAATGTATTTAGACTTGATTTATGGCCAAAAAAATAAAAAGTAAAAATGAAAATCTACTCAAAGAATTAAAAAATCATTGACAAATTCACATTCATATGAAGAAAAAGCATAACAAATTTTATTATTTAATATGTTGGAAGAGGGGCAAAGCATGGGAGAATCAAAAGAGAGTAATATCCCAATTTCCCAGTGGGGTATAAAGCTTATATACCAGTGTTCATAAGAGAGAGAGAGAGAGAGAGAGAGAAAGCGGGGGCTAAGTATGAGCCCCAGAACAATGGCCTGAGACCAAGTTACTCTAAAGCTCTGGAGGAGGTGAAAGCAGAAAGAAGTTAAAAGTTAATTAGAGACATCTTGTGTGCAGATGAAAATACTTCAGGTTATTTCATAGCTATCCTCAGAAAGAACAGAAGTAGCTAAAGGAGAGATACCCCAGAGGAAGCAAGGCTGTCTGCATTTACAGATGTAAATTTCTTTACACACACACACACACACACACACACACACACACACACAGCTGCCTTCTACCTAATCTGAAGTCTCACAAGCTGTTTCCCTCATAGGCTTCAATGGCACAGCTGCCTTCTACCTAATCTTGTTTTTCCACTCTCTCTGAATTAGCCATCTCGAAATATGTCAAAGAAATATATTTTGAGGCCAAAATATTTTGCTTTCCCCTAGGGGGCTGTGCTAGCATGGGGGGTGTGAATGGGGAGGAGGTCCTGAAGAAGGAAGAGCATGAACAAAGGCTTGGAGGCAAGAGCAATTCCATTTGGATTCAAACCTGAATCTTCTAACTTTTCTCCATTTTATTACCATCAAAACTCATGTGCTCTTCAAGTTTTCCTCAGTCCAAGCAGGACAATTACAAATAAATAAGATGATTTACTGTTTTCAGTTTCCCAAGAAGGATCTCCCTTCTCAGTGTCAGTCAAGCCAATGGAATGAAACTGAGTTTGGGTTCAGCAAAACAAAGGCTTTATTCCATGATCAGGGAATGGAGAGGTTCCCATGCTCTGACAAGCCACATGCTCCCCAAAGTGTGGTTATGAAAGCGACCTTAGCCAGAAAATGGCCAACTTTGGTGTAACTAAGACTGAGCAGAAAGTTTGAAATAGCCATTAATTTAGGAACTGTTAATCATCAATTCCTTGAGGTAGGCACAGGAACTGAGAAACGGACAGTATGGCTGGTACTGCCCAGAGATGAAATCATGCCCCAAAAGGATCCTTCTCAAAAGTTTATTTCTGTGTATCTCCCATTACACCCTCTTATGTTGATTTACTTTAGATGTTGCACACCTAAAATGAAGAATTGAAACTAAGTTTTCTTTTTATCTTCTTACCTTTCCTAAGCAATTGCAAGCAAAGGAATTCATAGAGAAAGGCAAAGCACCCTAGCTGATTATAAGGAAAATTGCATCCACATTAGTTAGAGGTACGAGTCAGGTATTTTTATGTTCCAGTGATGCTTGACTGAAGTTATTGTCTTTGAGCTCTCCTTAGGAGATAAGGATTCCGACCCTGGGTTAACATCAAAGATTTGAAGCTGACCAGTCCAACAACTGCAGACTCCATGACGCCAAAGCACCCAGTTCATCATGGGACCCTACATGTGATTCAGCCCCTCTGCTGATCCCATGACCAGCCTCCCCCTTTGCTGGCAGGACAAAACCCTCACCTCACCTTCCCACTTCTTCCCCTTTATAAATCCCAGGACAGGAATCAGAAGGTGAGATGATTTTAGCCTGGTTATCCCCCAGCTGCTGGTTATCAGAATAAAGCTTCCAATCCTTGCACCAGCTTTTGGACTTCTGGGTCATTGGTTTAGTGTGAGAGAGCAAGCCAGCTTGTTGCCAGTAACAGTTAGGTTTGGGTTTGTAAAGCTAAGTTGGGGACGTATCTCTGGTACAGGTGTGATTACTTGGGACAAGCGCTGTCCATCTCTCCTTGCACTAGCACCACCAGTTGCCTTGATGACAAGTGTCCCTCACATACCAATCTTTGCTTCCTATAGGTGTTTACAGCTGCCCTGACTAATGGTTGCTTTGGTGACTGTGTTTGCTTTGTCTTTACAACGGTGGTGGGCAATGGTCTTCATTTCCTATAGCAGACATTGAATTTGTCCTTTTTACAGCACTTATAGAGTTGGTTATTGGCATCCCTGACCTTCATTTCCTGTAAGCACACACAGCTTAAAGGAAAAAGAATTAACACCTTGACGTTTCTTTATAGTTTTACCATGGTGTGCCCTGGTGACACTACCAGTTACATTTCAGCGTATTTCCCCCACCTCCCCATTAGACTATAAGCTCTTTGAAAGCAAGAACTTCATAATTCAAGTCTTGTCACATAGCAAGAAATAACAAATATCGGTTGAACCGATGGATGAGTAGCTGAACGAATGAATGAATGCATGCCTGCCTGCTAGTCTCTGGAGGAAATGGTCGGCCTTAGAGGTGCAGTCCACCCCGGAAGCCCTAAGACCATGGACCGTGTTGGGGCCGACTCCAGAGCCCCAGGAGGCGCTCTAGGCAAACATTGCGCTCCTTGCCACGGCGCCGCTCTAGCCCCGCGGTCGCCCTTCTATGGCGGCGAGAGAGGGGCGGGGCCCGTAGGCATCTCGGGGCCTTTTTGTCCCGCCGCGGCGGGAGCGCGCCCTGCGCGTGCTTACGCGGCGGTGGTTGGCGGCGCGCGGACGACGTGAGGCGAGGCGAGGGGGCTCCAGACTCACGGAGCGACAGACCGAGCGGCCCTTACGGCCGTCGGCGGCCAGGAGGCCCGAGATGTTGTCCGGGAAGAAGGCGGCAGCCGCGGCGGCGGCGGCGGCAGCGGCGGCCGGGACGGAGGCCGGACCCGGGGCAGCGGGCGGCGCGGAGAACGGCT